TTTTTTTGGTAACCAAGAACAAGTGCTTCGGAATTTTCAATGGAACATTAGTATTGTCAGTTGAATGGAAAAGGGGTTATAGTTTTTGTCAAAAATTGTCTCCATCCTCCATTACCTGAGGGGTTTCAGCATCTCGATATATACACATAGCATAAGAAATGCAATATTTGGACATTTCAAAATTGATTTTATTTGTCACATTTTCTACCTTGCTCTACTGAAGAGTCTAAACCTCCATCAACCCTCTCTTGCCTACATAGCTCATTGCCGTGGAGTCTAATGTAATGGATAGCATTTTCTTCACACTCAAATTCCAAATTCAAGACCCCAATGTTTCTCAAATTATCGTGCAACCAGCCTTTCGACTTAGTATTATGTAAACTAGCAATAAATTTGCAAATCGGTAAACTCAAACTGGAAATTCATAACTGTTTTGAGCGGAAGTGCATGTACGGGAGTTCAAAAGACACTAGGATGAGCATCAGTTATTCATGCTATTTGATTGTTTGATACTTTGTTCACTAGCCTAGTGAAAAAGAATGAATTTGTGATACAAACTGCCAATTGACTTTTTCCACTCTCAGAGCTCTATGCTTACCTTGCTTCAAGACACGTAACCTTATTATTTATTCAATCGTTAGCTTATTGAATTGCACCTGAAAGCACTCTAAGAGTTTACTTGTCATTTGCTCATAGCTCGTGGACGGTATCAACTTCATTTGCATTTTTTAAATTGCTACAAGGGAATTTTTGAATTTTCTCCCTCGTTTTTCTTACAAGTGGGTAGCGAAAATGAAAAGAGTGGGAAATTATGATAATGTGATGTCACCTACAAAGGTTATTAAGAGCTGAACATTCAATATTGCCTTGGGAAGTATTTCAGTATTTAGACCTTACAAAATTTCTTGAATGCGTAAAACATCTCTTTCTGTTCTTTTTTGCCAAAAATTATGATGATTGAGTACAAAAGTAGTAAAAAAAAATTCAGTTTTTGAAATTTACTAATTTACTTGTACCTTCTTCTTTTAGAGCTGTCGCACTCCGACGGATACGGTGCCTTGGTCAAGAAAAGTGTAAGCCATCACAGTCTTCCAGTCAACGCTACAAATCATGCCCCACTAAAAAACTCGGTGGGTTCGGAGTTCAGCTGCTGTCATGGAGACAGAGTATCATACGTGGCCTAGCATGACCATAAAAATTTTAGACGTTTGAAATTTATGAGGACAAGCTTTGAATACGGAAAAAATTGCCGATATCAAATTCAATGAAAAAAATTAAAGTGCAATAAAAAACTGCTGATTACTTTTAGAAATCCATCCCTGCCAAAAAGAACCATGTGAATGGAAAGATTGTGCCGTCAGCATCCCATAAGAACTTATCCAATGGTAATGCGAATGGGAAATTACCCAAAGCTCACCCTACCACCCCGGGTAGGGGAGCTGCAAATGGAATACCTCCCGGACAGAAGACGGTCCAGAATGCGTTGAAGAAAATCGAAAGCGAGGAGTGGTGAGTTTTTTATCCAAAATCAACAAGGTTGTTTTTAAGCCTTTGGTCTGAATGTAAGAGTTGAAAAATTATAAAAGAGAACTTGCCGCCTTAGACAGTTTCTAACTAACGTCATCTTTTTACTGGGATCTTTTTATTGGAACATTTCTTTGCCAAATTAGTAAATTTTGAATGTAGATCCTTTTCTCAAATTTATGAACGAGCTTTTGGACAGTTAATTTTTGATTATGCTTATTCATCACTGCTCAAAGTGGAATTTTTGCTGGTAATTGCTGAGCAGTTTTTC